GTATTGCGTTGAAGTTGATATTGAGAGAATGGCGAGACATGTTCAACAAAAGTTGAACTATTGCCAAAAAAAAAAAGTTTTGTTAGGAGGGTATTCAAGAATGAAAGAGAACATTTCTAGCTTTCACAAGAACGTTGCATCATATACTAAGATGCTTGAGGAGGTAAAAAAGGAGTACTGTGCTTATATGAACAAGGTGCCAATCTCAAAGCATTTAGCACAATGATAGTTTTATTATAAAATATATGTCGGTTCATATTATGGCCATGGGCTTGGTGGCAAAACTCTTCGTGTTCTTTGCCGCAAATGTTATATAGAGATACAAGAGGGCATATGTCTCAATACAACGTAAATGTGGAGGATGAAAAAGATGATGGCACAAAGGTAACCCTAAGATGTTTCATGAGAATGCTATATAGGGGCGCTGACATGCCTACATGGATATTGGAATGTTCATTCATGAAAATGTAATTCCATTTAATGTGGCAACTTCCTCTTCCTATTTCAACTTATTTGTTTCATAGGTTCCTATGGTTGTCACCATCTATTTAAGAACTTGAGAATCAAAAGATAAGTTGAATATCACTGAAGACATCATCGAAAAGATTAGAAGAATTTGAAATCAAACTAGAGTAAACACATGCCCAATGTTTGATCTGATCTCAAGAATAAAAGCTTAATTTATATTTTGATTAACAATTCATATGTCACTAATTTCTTAAAGACTGTTGATGCGTCACATCAGATAAAGGATAGATAGTACATTTTTTTACTATGTCATATAAGAGATTGGAGATCATATAATGCGACAAATTGTTACAAATAATGCAAGTGCCTATATGGAAACTGGAAATAATTTGATGTAAAAAAGAAAAATATTTGTATTGGACACCTTCTATGGCACACTACATAATTTGATAGGTTTTGGCTTTGAAGAGAAAACTTAACTAAAAAAAATTATGCCCTATTACAACTAGATTTGATATGGCTTGTTTGACTCTACAAAGCATGTTGGAAGCAAGACAAGCTTCGAAATCCTATGTTCACTTCCATATAAAGGCTTAACAGTACTCGGACAAAAAAGAAACTGAGGGAAAAAGAAAATAAGAAGATTTTTATAAATGAAAGGTTTTGGTAAGTGTTAGTTATGAAATAACAATAAAAAATCCATTGGTTCAAATTTTAAGGATGGTTGACACAGAGAAAAGCCAACCATGGGCTTCATTTATAATGCAATAGATGAGGCTAAAGAGTTAATATCCAATAACTTGGAAGAAGATAAGTCCAACAACAAGGAGATTGGTTAAATCACTGATGATAGTGGGAGCTTCAACTCCATCATCTTTGCATGCATCTAAATATCACTTTAATTCTCAATTGCAATATGTTAAGAACAAGTAGATCAATAATGACATCAAATTAAGTTTATACCATTGTATGCATAGGTTAATAGCAGACTCAATTGAGAGGGTGAATGCTGATATGCAACTAATGCCATCGACAAATAAGAAAGGATTATTTGGACTAAAACAAGCCAAAGATACAATTATAAAAATTTATCCATATATTTTTTAATATTTATTGGTTGAAATAAGGATTCTCCCAATTTTAAATATATTTTTTTCAAAGTTAGTTAAATGATGGATTTAGATTGGTGGTAGGACTCTAAAGCTATAGAAATTAGCTATTAAAGTATTGAGACTTACATATTCGTGATATGGATGTAAGCAAAACTGGAATACATACAATCATATTCATAACAAATGGAGAAATCGTTTGACTATCTTAAGAGTAAACTCCTTAGTTTACATCATATAGAACAAGAGATTAAATGATATAAATTTAAACATTTTAATGGCGTGCCATAAGATGAATGTTTGTGAATGATGTTAACAAAGTCATATCATCCGGTTTGCAATTGATTTCTCTGATGGGGATAGAAGTCAGATAAATATGTCTAACACAAACTAGCCATAAATAAAAAGAAAAATATCTATGAGATTATAAGTATTTAAAAGTGTAAATATCAACATAGCCATTAATTTAAACTTTAATTAATATTATAAATTTCTTATTTATTATTATTGATGATGGAAGAGGAAATGAACAAAATCAAAGACGAGAAGAAAGATTGGGAGAACATAAAAAATAAGCATAATACAAGGGATAAAGCAATTAATTATGACATTGACTCCAATGAAGACCCCTTGGTAATGACTGTTGAGGACCTTCAATTTTAGAAATTCTTGGAGGCTACTTACTTCGCTTACTGTTTATGTTCTCATTTGCATGTTGGACAATAGGAGCAGAAGAGAGAAATTTATTCTAATAAACTTATTTTGAATTGTTATGTTATTGTTCTTACTTTAATATCATGTTTTACTTTGATTATTGCAAACGCTTTTATTTTGTGTAATTTGTTACTTAATACTTCGCATAATTTGTTAATTCTTACCATATTAAGTTGTTAACTTGTTACTTTTTAATATGTTAATAGGTTAGGATGTTAATATATTTCCTATTGATTCATACTTTGATATGTGTACAACACTTTATCTTACGCAATTTGTTGATTCTAATGCTTATGCCTCAAAAAGCTTTGATTCTTATACCTCATCTCACGAATGAGGAATGCATCAATACCAAATTACATAATTTTAAACATTAAGGAGATATACTTACATACCACCTTATACTATTCTATTTACATATTTAATACCTAAAACTTTAATATTACACACATATCACACAGTTCATTTTCATATCAAATATGAGTGGTATAAATTAAATATATGAGTGGTAGTAAAGAAATATAAGTAGTATATTTGATATTAAAATAATATAGGGTGGTATGCATGTAATATTAAAGTTTTGAGAGTTAGATATGTAAATAGGATGTTATAAAGTGGTATGTATGTAAATATCCCTAAACATGAATACAAGTCAACAAGATGTTGCAAATGTAATCAAGACAAAGAGAGTCAAAATAATCTAATCTCTAGTAATCTCATTCAAAGACTTAATTTAAAGACCACTCATACCCTCACATATACCCTCTTGGTTAAATCCAGAAGGACATAGAGATAATGTCTGAATAACAATATTGATTCCATTTTGCCACCACATAAGAATAAATAGATAAAGTGGTGTGTTAAGTTAGCCCACTTGAGAAATGCCAAGTCATCTTCAGTAGCATTTTAGATTTGGACCAAGGTGCTTACTTCATAAGGACCTAGCAATATCAATTTATCAATGATGACAAAACTCACAAAATGAATATGATTGAAGATATTCAACCCCAAGACATGGCGATATTAAGGTAAGTAAAAAGAACAATCGTCGCTTGCCAAAACTTCAATCAGATCTTTCACCAAAGGGAAAAACATTATGGTATTGCTCCTTTTAAACTTGGGAATAAAGCAAAAACAACATAACCTTATGGGAGAAGATGCAGCACTCTTCCAATAACTAACAAATCCTTGACTACAAAGGATGAAGGAACCTATTAAATTGACTTTGGAGAACAAACAGGACATGTTCCTCTTGATAATAATGAGGATAAGAAAGGAACCCATCATAGATTTGGACAAAATTAAAATAATTTTTCAAATTGAAGACAACAAGCTTGAAATAGACACATCGAACTATAATTAGGTAGTGCATATTAAACAGACACATCGAATTAATGGAGGAGTTGGTTGCTTTATTTACAAAGTGATAAAATCAAAAATCAAACTAGAATGTATTTCTGATGAACTTTGTCATTCCCTACTCTCCTTCATGAAATTTTACATTCATACATGTTTTAATGTTAAAACTTTATCTTTCAATTAATATTTTTCATGCATCTTGAATGAGAGAGTTTCTTAATAAACTTGTAACAGCAGCGCCCACCATCTGCTCTTATATAAGGAGGGGTTGGTAATGGGGCTTAGGCATGGATTTGAGCTTGTAATTCCCTTTCTACTGAAGGAAAACTTGTCAATATAAAATCCCACAAACTCTTTTCTCTTGTAGTAACTTTTCTAACCAAATCGCCATATACTCTTTTTCCTCTTTTAACCAAAAATATCAAGCAAACTTCCTTAGGTACATTCCAAACTTTCAAAGCATTATCACATTCTTCTGTCAACTTTCGCATTCAGATTTCTTTCTTGGTTTGTTCTCATTTCATATTGGAATTACAAACATGAAAAGGTTACAAGAAGTGTATTTAGCTAGAACTTAAAGTAGAATCCTATCAATAAAGACTGAAAGCTAGCTGAGAGACCCAAAATAAGATCAACATATTCTCTTGCACAACTAGGTAAATTCTCACCAAGAGCCCAATTTACTTGGTGGTTCTATAGGATGATCTCAACATGCAAACCTCAAATAGCATCAAATAATAGCTCAACAAAGAAGTCCCATGAACTTCTATTCTATAATGGACTAATATCAAAATAGACATCTAGCCAGTAGTAAATACAATTTTTATCATGGTTAATGGACAAATCATTCAAAAGATTAACCTGATCGAAGGGAAGGAAAAATCACCCGATCAGATAACATCGAAACTTGTATCAAAATAAAAAATAAAAAGTACAAAATACTAGCCACCAATTTCCTACAAAATCAACTACTTAAAGTCTACAGTTGACGCCCTTTCTCTTACTCCTACTCAAAATACACATAGTCGTTTTCTTTAACTTATTCTCATATAGAAACCCTAGGCTCTATTTCCATGCTTAATCATGAAGAAATGAAACAAAATGCCTGAACCTTGTCACTCGATCATGAATATCTTTAAAAACCTCTTTCATTTCGCCAAAGCACGCTTTGAGCTAGAGTTCAAAAGAGGAATGGGTCATAAAATAAATAACCAAGTTCCATCCAGTCACGATGCAGATAACAGTAGTACATAAATAATCCGAATTGATCCATAAATTTCCTCCAGAAAAAGATGCACAAAATCAAAGAAATCAGATGAATGAGAACCGTAGAGGGAAACGAAGCAAGACCTGGATGTTCATGGCCTTCTTGTTTGATTCCAGCTGACTTCCTACACGAATAAGACGAAAACGAAGCAAACATTCAAGATCTATACAATCAGAAATGAGCAAAAAGCAACGAATTGGAAGAGATACCCTTCTGTCCTTTCATCTTCTCCAAGTTCTTCTCGCGAGCCATCTTTGCCTTCTGCCCGTTGCCTCCTCCCATCTCTCCTCTCTCTCTCTCTCTCTCTCTCTCTCTCTCTCTCTGGGGTCTTCTTCCTCGGGTCTTCTGCTTATGGCGGAAGAAAGCCGAAAAAAGGACGAAGGATAAAATTTACCGAGGGATTACGCGTCGGTGGCGGCCATTAAAGACGCTTCCACAAAGGTGAATAATTGTCAAATTTTGACGGTTAAAAGGGATCCTAATGGATAAAACATGTTTTTTTTTTTTTTTAAGAAAATTATATTCAAATTTTTTGGCATAATTATTCATAATCATGAATCTAATTAAAATGAATAAAAAATGAAATTGATTAAAATAAAATTAAGGGAAATTTACATACATACCATTTTATAACATTCTATTTACATATCTAACACCCAAAACTTTAATATTACATAAATACCACCCTATATTATTTTAATATCAAATATACCACCCATATTTCCTTACTATCACTCATATGTTTTATTTCTACCACTCATATTTCATATAAAAATGAACTATGGGTGGCATGTGTGTAATATTAAAGTTTTAGGTGTTAAATATGTAAATAGAATAGTATAAAGTGGTATGTATGTAAATCTCCCCTAAAATTAAAGCAAATTTTCTAATATGTTGGAATAAATTTTTAGCAAAATTTTTAGTAAGATTCAAATCCGTTTAAATAATAATTAAACTTCATTTGAGATGACTTTCTTACTGCTTCTTAAAACAGCTTTTTAGTAAAAAAATAAAAAAATAAAATTATACTAAAAGCTACTTTAAGAAGCAGTAAGAAAGACGTCTCAAACGAAGACTTAAACTTCGTTTGAAATAGCTTTCTTATTGATTTATGAAGCAGTTTTTTAGTACAAAATCTTTTAAAATTTGAAATTTTTGCCCTAAAAATGTTTCATAAAACAATAAGAAAATTGTCATAAACGAAGTCTTAAAAGAATGTTCCAATAAGGTTCTTCTAATAAATTCTATGAATAAGGTTTGAAACTTCCGTTATAAAGGTATACCATATTCATTTTATAAGTATGAGGTTCTCCCTTAGTTTGATTCTTATTATAATCTATAATTATTATTGATGAATCCTAAATAGTTATCAATAAGCTTAAACAAATGATTGTTGAAAAGCAGAGACCATCCTTATCAAACTTTATTGCAAATTGATCACATGAGTTATCAGATCATCACAGATAGAGAAGGTGATGAAATAAGGACATTCAAGTAGCTCCTTCTAAGAAAGTTCTCATGAGTCATGAGTCGGCGGATACGCGTATTTTTATTTGTCAAGGATATTTTGGTCTAAAATATACTTTTACGTATATTTCTTCAAATAACAAAACAACAAAGATATTTAGTCAATTACTACTATTATGACTCATATAAAGTCAGATTTCCCCTTGTTGTAGTGGTGATTCTCTGTATCCTTTTTTTTCGTGAGACATTTAGACCAATTAAGGCAAACTCATAGCACATCACATACGTAAGACTCGAATTCAAGACCTCTTGATTAGTAGTCAAAGCTCCCAACTAACAAACCAAGGTGAGCTACGTTTCGCCATATCTCGACTTCACTATCAGAAAATCTTGATTGAGGGATGAGAAATCAATTAGAATGTGAGTTGCATCAATGCGTGTTCTTATAATAGGAGTTTAGGGTTTATTTGATTAAACATATCAATACAAATTTTCTTAATAAAAAGTTTGTGCATCGCTTTTTGTTTTAATTGGATCATCTAAAAAATAAAGTTCAAATAGTTTATGTATATTAATTTGAAGAATGTCTTAGTACTCCAATAATTTATAACAAATAATTAAAATAATTTATTGATTCATATAAAGAACATCATATATATAAATTCATAAAATTCAAATTTTATTTGGATTTCTATTACAGAAGAATAACATTACTCAATGATTGCCTTACTTATTATTGTAATTTTGCTAAGATGAGCAACAAGAAGCTATTATTTGTAATTCTTCCCATTTTTTCGATCAAGAAGCTATTATTCGTAATTCTTCCCATTTGTAAAGAAGAATCCATTGTTATTATCAATATTTAAAATAAAATATGATGTACTTTTTACCTTTCTCACTTCATTTAATAAATTTATTAAGGATAAATCTCCTTTATTAAACTTGTAGGGGTCACCTTTAGAATCATATCTTCCTAGTGGATTATTTTGGGATAAAGATATTGATGAGGTAAAACTCCTTAAGTAAAATGAAGTTAAACTCTTAAACATCGCATCACATTTTGGTATAATGATTGAAATCTCATTAAGAAACTATATAGTTAAGTATGCTCATCCCAAAGAAATCCTAGTATGGGTGACATCCTGGGATGTTAGACCAACATGATAAAATCGTGAAGCCCTTAAGACAAAGCGGACAATATCTCGATCATTAAGAGTTTGGGCTGTTACAAAACATAGGTGTACTATGCTTAGGCTACTTTTGAGTTTTCTCAATTATTTCTTAACCTTACTCTAGGATAAGTGTCTCCTGTATTTCAATATGATCTACAGTGGATATGTCTTTTATAGTATTGTATAACTTATCTTTATAAAATATGGATTCAATAAAGATAATATTTTACTTCTAATGATTTTATTATCTTTATTATTTAACAATCCATAGTCAAATCCATCTCCTTCATATCCAATAAAGCTGCATTTCTTAGATTTTTGGCCAAAATCATCTCTATTAATATGATCAATATAAATATACTATAGATTATATAAAATACTTATATGTCAAATACATCTCATTTTCTATCCAAGCTTCTTCATGAATCTTAAAGATAAGGGAAACTAATCGAATGTGCTTGATTAAGCATAACGTTATGTTTATTACATCAGCTTATAAGGCATTTTAGAAGGCTTGCATTTAATATCATGCTCCTTACATGTTTGCTAGGAGTTACATACATCATCTCAACTACTCAATTTTCTTTTGGACATTTTAAGACCATTTTCTTTATAAGAATGATATAATTTTGTGAAGTATATATAATCATACTCCCCACTACTATGAGATTCTTGGTAATTAATGTTGTCTCTAATTTATTATTCCACCAAGTTCTTCCACTTCTTAAAAGGGGTAAAAACATCATAGTTATTTTAAAAATAAATTAAACTCTTGTGTTTTGATGGAATCATAAACAAAAGTTTGATAGTATAAGGATCCTCTTAAAGAAGTGATAGGGGATAACTCCTATAAATCTATTTGAGCTAGCTCTAGCCTTTTAGATTTAAGCTTTCTTTCAATCTTTAGGAGACTAACTCTCCTTTCTTGTCCTAAAACATAATCTTTATCGAAAACTAGATTCAATAGCTTTTAAATTTAAAACTTTATCTCTAGACTTAATAATTTTTAGGTTTTTATAACTCGTATGGCCTAATCTTAGATGTCATTTATTTTGTTATATCTCTATATCAATGATAACTCTTATTCTTTATGTATTGGTGGTAGCATAAAGATTGCATATTTTATTGCCTCAAGCAATCACCAGGATACCTTTTATCACATTTCAAGTATCATCATTGAAAGTGATATGGCATTTTCTTATATTTAGTTATCTTATAGTGATCAGGTTTCTCTTTAAGGTAAGGATATGCTTGATTTTATTTGCAATTCAAGTATTACTATTTTATCTTGAGTATAAAATATTAAATGCCCATAATATTTAAAGGTTTATCATCAATGAGGAATATTTTATCATAATTATATGTCAACAGTTAGTCATTAGATTTTTGTTTAAAAAGATGGGAATGATGCACTTAAGATTTAGTCATTAGATTTTGTCACTAAAGAGATTGATGTTTTCATAAGATCCTTTTAATTATTTTTTTAAAAAACATTTCAATCAAATCATCTCATTGGCTTCAATGAGCCACATATTTAGCTTCTATAATTGATAGCATAACTATCTTTTAAACTTGCGACACTCAACTAATAGTGGTTCCATCCAAGGTGTAGATGTACACAATATTGGTACTATTAATGAGGTTCTTATTTCATGCTATAAATATTTTTATTTAACTTGCAAAAACACTTCCTTTTCAAGTTCAACAAAACCTTATGATTGTATCATATATATGTCTTCCTCAAAGTCATAGTGGAGGAAAAATGCCTTAGCATTCATTTATTCAAGATATAGATCTTCTTCTACTACAATTATAAGTTCAAAATAAAATCTCTTTATTTCTTATTTTCAATGTTTTGAAATCCATTGTTATTATCAATATTTAAAATAAAAGATGATGTACTTTCTTATCTTTATCATTGCATTTAACAGTCTTATGGAGGATAAATCTCTTTTATTAATAAGCTTCATTATAAATGATCAATAGGAACTACTAATGGTTGTTACATTTCCATCCTTGCTCTTAGACAATATGAGTGAAAGCCCAAGTCATGTATGTCATTATCTTATTTGATGTTCACTAAGTTTAATTATCTCATGATTAAGTTGAACTCACGAATATGATCAATGATCAAAACTCTTTATGACAAAATGAGATTGAAAACTTATGCATTATATGTTCCTTATTAAATATGGAGGCCTTCACATTTATATTAAAAAGCATCTTATGAAACTTCCTATTATGACTTTGTTGTTGATTTTGAAGACAACATGCATGCAATGGTAGGTGAATGATCCATATAGGTTACTATCCATTGAATCTCATTCTTCTTGATCGAAAAATTATAACTTTACTCCCTTTGGTGATTGATGAGATTTTCTTTACTGCTGATAGTCTTCAACTCATAGCTTCGATCACCTTAAGTTCTAACCATCAAACATATCAATTTTGATCTTCCTATCCTTTATGCTCAAATCTAAAAGCTTTGATACCAAATGTTAGGTTAGCAATAAAATTTTGAGTAAACTTACATGAAGACGAGGGAACAAACATATCAAAGATATCAAATATAAGACAACAAGTTTACATGATTTTATGAGATTCACTTACATCTACAACTATACAAAAATCAAATATTTCACCAAGATTCAAAACATGTATATGGAGAGATTGTGCTTCATATGAATAAAGGAAAATATATCACTTTGTTTGTGTTAATGATTGAGAACAAACACAACCACCTCTTGTGAAGATAAGAGCTCAAAGTGGAGAATAAAATATGGATGCTTCTTCTCATCCTCTCTTCTCTTCACCAATGTGAGATCTTCTTCATCTCTTCCCTTCTCCCTTTTTCTTCTTTTTTTACTTTCATGTAGTTGTGGGATGCATACAATCATTAATGTCTTCCCCTAGGGGTGCTACCGAGTCAAGCCGACTTGCGAGCCGGCTCGGGCTCAACTCATTAGCAGGCTCGAGGAGTCGAGCTTATCAAACTCGCGAGTCGAGCTCAAACACGATTTCCAGCTAGATGGCTAAACGAGCTCGAGTTCGAACACCCCACTACTCGACTTGCAAGCTCGTCGAGCAGCTCGTGTAACTGTAGTGGGAAAATTGCAACTGTAGGTCTTCTGCTAGCAGATAAAAATGAAAACATGTTGCTACAGATAAACGCGAAGGACGCAGTGGAGGATGCTGACACGCGAACGACGCAAGCGAATGCTACCGTAGTCAAGCTGTACTCATACAGGTGGATGACACAGGTGATGGCGGTCAACTACGAACGCGGACCACGCAGGCGGACGCTGCCACAGGCGAGCAGCGCTGACGCAGGCGAATGACGTAGGTGGTGGTAGTCGAGTTCGACTATGAATACGGATGACGCAACCGCAGCTGCGCTGATGCAGGCAGACACTGTCGCAGACATGAACGACACAAGTGGGGCTGACGCAGACGGACGGCGCAGCTACTGACCAGCTAACAAACGCGGGCAACGACGCAAACACGGGGCTCATTAACAGGCAAAATTATCGCTCGACGATCTTATTTTCCCTTGCCGAGTCAAGCTCAAGCTAGATTTTGAGCTCGACTCAAGTTTGAGCTCGAGCTTGGTTTTTGACATAGTAGCTTAACTCGAGCACCCCCTGGCTCAAGCTCAACTCGACTCGTTTGCACCCCTAGTTGCAACAATATATTATATGTTTGAAGAGTTAGGAATTGAAGAATAAATACCATCTCACACCTATATTATCAATAATAAGGATTAGGATGTAGGAATCCATCTAAATGTGACCTTGAATTAGGTCCTGATGATTAGAAAGCCTGTGTGTAATAGTATTTGAGAATATATACACTCAATCATAGCACTTGATAGCATAATAGGACAAGAACATAGGAATCATAAGCCTTTGAGTGACTCTTGAACCAACATCCTTATGATTATCTAGTATACAAGAACATAGGAATTATAAGTCTTTTTACTTGCACTAACTTTCAATACAAGCCCCTTTGCTTACTAACTTCATAGCCGGCGAATTAGTTTTAGATATTCTTTCTAAAACAGTTTTTAAATACAATTTGTTGTAACATAGGCTTCGTTTGAGACAATTTTTATTCTGCTTTCTAAAACAGTCTTTTAGTATAAAAATTATGTAAAAGCGGCGAAAAAATAATGACCAAAAGCTGTCCCAAACGAATCGATAGTTTAAAAACTTTCATCTGAATATAGTTTTTGAACAAACTCTGAATTGAAACATTGATGCTACACATAAAATATGATAACTTCAAGTATTAAGTATAGATGCTCCACTTATTTCTGTATGATTTCCAAAAGGTTGTAAATTTGAAACAGAATCTCAACTCAATCAGACACATCAGATCCAGGATAAGAACAACTATTAAAAGGGGATTCAAATACAGCATCTGTACATGGATGCTACACCAAAAAAGAGCTAGCATATGGTATCTTTAATGAGAATTCTTCCAAATTTAAAAAGATAAGAAAAATGCAGAAAATCTACTTTCAACACTCCCTTCGACGGATTTTAGCTTCCTGCTCAGCTCTTCTCCAGGCAGCCTGAAAGATAGAGAGGTGGGTAAATATTATTTCAATTGGAAACATTAAAATTGCTATGCACTTCTCCTTGGTGAAACTAGAAAGAAGAATGGAAAATACAAGCTCACCTTGTCTTTCTCAAGCTTTGAAAGATGAGGCTGCAGAGAATTTCCTAAGCTCAAGCCTCCCCATGCTTCTTGCAGTTCTTTCTCCCTTGCTTTCCTACGAGCATCGACATTTTTAATGGAATTTTCTGAATTTTGAGTTGCTTCCAACTTGGCTCTCTCAAGTTTGGATTGATGCTTCACTAAAATCTCATCTAGACTCTCTATCTTCTCTACATGCTGCCTTCTTTTCTGCACTACAAAGTCAGTTCCTTCTTGAACTGAAGCTAGCTTGGTTTTTTCAAGTTTTGATTGATGCTTTACCAAAATCTCATCGAGAGGTTCAATCTTCTCAAGTTTTGTCTCAATTTTTTTCACTGAAGGCATATTTCCTTTTTCCTTAGCTTTCATTTTTTCTCTCTCCAACCAGTGAACAGGTCTGACAAGAATTTTATCTAGGCTTGCTTGTTGGAAGTCATTGATTCCTTGTCTACTTTGACATGAAAATGATTTGCGAGTTTCCAATTTAGCTCTTACATCTTGAGATTTGGATATATTTCCATTAGTTATTTCCCGTAGTTCCATAGCCTGATTCTTCTCTTTTGTCAATGACTTTGACTTACACTTGAGATTCTCCTTTTCCTCCTTTTCATCAGCTGAAGCTAATGAAATCATCTCAAGAAACTTGACATCTGCCCGTTCCAAATCTTCAGACAACTTTATTATGCATTCTTCTTCATGATCGTTTTTTGGGTTTTTCTTCTGAGAATTCTTAGCTTCCTGAATTTCTCTTTCAAGTTTGGATACATGCTTTATGAGAATACTTCCCAGATCCGACGCATACTGTGATTTTCTTCTGGTCTGTTTCAACTGAGCAGTTCTATCATCAGAAACTTGCTCATCAAATTCTGCTATGGCATCATCATCCTTCTTTGACAGTTGAGCTTGTTGGACTTCTCTTTCAAGCCTGGAGACATGTTTCACTAAGAACTTATCCAGACTGGGTACATTGGAGATATCTTCTTTCTTTTTCTGTGACACATACAGAGACTGGTCGACGTTGGACCTCCTTCGCATTTCTTCTTGTCCACCATGCTCATTCTCATGACCATGGCTGTTTTGCATTTCAAGAAGGGCAGCATTCAAACCACAAGTGGCGACGATAGTCGCAAGAGATGAAAGCTCATTTTCTTGCAGTGCTTTAAGCCTATCAACCATTATGTTCACCAGATCTTCAGACAAATTAGAATTAGTATCTTCATGATATTCTTGAAGATTTCCATGGCTGCTTTTCCTGTGGCTCACCTCATTATGCAGTTCAGGTTCTAGTTCACTACTATGATCAAATTCGCATTGCAGCGATGTCGTTAAAGCTCCATAATCGTCGGGATTCTGCCTGATTTTTCGTAACAAGTCTCTGAATTCTTCTTTATTTGAGGAAGAGGAGAAGTTGGCGAGTAATATAAAAGCTTTTTTGACTGCTGCTGCAACTTCCCTATCCACCTCAAACTCAGTATCAAAAGAAGCAGTTACTGTGTGTGCAGATTTGCCACCAGTGGCTGAGGATGACACTTCACATGATCTCCTGGGACAATCAGGTTTATCGAACATCATAACTCCCATTAGCTTTGCTTCTTCAAAAGCTTCTGCAGCAAATGCTTCAGCTTTCTGCAACTTGGATTCAGCATCTTTGCTTTGAATCCTATTTATAACGAAAGAAATACTCAGTAAGATTTACTAATGTGATGTATTGAAAAAACAAAGTTCCTCTTTCCATAACCTTGCTGCTTGAAGAATTCTACACCAAGAAGCTTCAACCATTGCAGCTTTACGAGCTTCCATGGCTCTACGAGCTGCCTCTTGAGCTGCAATCTTCTCCCTTGCTATCCTTGAATAGTGAGGGTTGGCATTGCCGAGAGTTTCAACTAAAGACATATTCATCCCACCACCTTCCTGCAAGACTAAGAGGTCATTTGAAGAAATTCAAATCTTTAAGTGGAATTGCAAGCAATGAGCTGAAGCTAAGGAAAATAAGAGTGGACCTGGAGAAGCTTTATCTTTCTCTTCAGGAATGAATCTGTCTTTTTTCTTGGAAACCAGTTGATAGGAGAAGGGCTTCTTCGATGCGAGGGTTTCTTCATTAGTGATGCAAATTTATTCAAAGAGCTCCGGATCGAATGCACAGTCTCTTTCAATTCAACATTCTGTATCCATAGCTAGAAATTATTCTTGAAAACTTATTCAAGAAGCCAATCAATTAAACATTTTGCATGTGATTGGATTCAGTTTTCTACTGCAAGGCAGATTGATGTTTGCTTAAGAAGCTTGTATATTGTTTAGGTAAGGGGTGTCATGAGGTGTTACATTTAATGCCTCCAAAATTTTAATTCTTATAAAACAAAGATGCTAGATACATTAATGTCGAAGAGACTTGAAAAGATACTCATGAAGTGGTGGTAGGGGGCTTTATAATAAGAGTGATGGTTGAAAATGAATATAAATGATTATTTTGGGATGTGAAGAAGTGATTTCGAGTTTATGATGGAATGATAAAGTGTTTTGAAGGGTATGATGTAGTAAAAGGCAATGCTAACATAGCTTAGGTTAGTTTGGGTCGATTCGATTTGACTCTTTAGGAAATAGATTCAATGAAAGGCAAATAGGGGAAATAAATGTAGATGGTTAGTTTGGGATATGAAGTTGTGATTTGTAGAATTCATAAGGTTTAAGAGTCATATTGGGGTGGAGAACAAGACTAGGTGCTAGGGAGTTTAATCTAGGTCGAGGGCTTCCAAGTGTGGTTTGGATTGATTTTAATGACTTAAATTATAAATTGATAGTCTTAAGAGATGGCTAAGATATAGAGAAAGAGGCTACAGAGATTTGAAAGAAGATTTGAATAACAATAAGCATAAAAATGATTAAACAATCCCACAAAAATTGGTCAAAATAGGTCACCAAGCTTTAACCAAAAGAGAAAAACTTTCTCCAAAATTTTTTTATCATTCAAAAATTAAAATTTCTCATTTAAATACTAACATTATTTATAGAGTTATAATAACTATCATCATTCAAAACTAAGAGAAAAATTTTGGGGAAAAAGGAGTGGGTGGCCATTAATAGAGGAAAATATCAACCATCTTTAGTAATTTATCTTATCTTCATTAATTCACTAGTCGATACATGTTCACTAAGATAAAAGGTTAAACTTTCAAGATGTTAAATTTTAAATTTAAATCAAGGTTTAAAATTGCGTAATTAAGCCTCGAGGCAGTTTTCGTCCGTGAGGCGAGACGTAAGCCTCGAGGCGGTCTGAGGCGTAAGCCTCACAGACACAGAATTGCGTAAATGAGAAATTAAGGGTTTTCGCAGGTAAATAATAACAATATTCTATCTTACAATAAAAACATCTAAATTATATATGAAAATAGTGGAAAGTAAGAAAATCTAACCCTAGATTTTCTTACACTTGAAAAATCTAACCCTAAACTAAAAAAAAAAACACCTAAAATCGATTGTGGAGTACTCCTAGAGGGTGGCCGGACACTACAACTTCGCCGGAGAGAGGCAGCGCCGGCGGGAGAAGCGGCGGGAAGGGAAGCCGACGGGTGCGGCCTGTGCGGGAGCTCTCTGTTTCGCGAATTGGAGCCGTACGGGAAGGAAATTTTTGGGAGACTGAAGCCGTGCGGGATTAAGGAGGAAAAATACTTCATTTTATGTGAGTGGGCCCGTTCCTATGAGGCATACGCCTCTACCAGAATTGCGCAATTGCGCCTCTGAGGCAGTTTTGGGACAAATTGTGCAGAGGCGCGCTTCTTATTGCGCAATTTTAAATAGAGATTTAAATGATAAAATAATAACTTGATTATTTATTCTTGAGTTAGCTCTAATAATAAACCTTAATTAAGCTCTTGTTTAGCACTTTATTTGACTTTTGTAACTATACTTTTATTTGAACAGATCGATGTGCTACATAAAATTCCCTGGGCTCATTTGAGCTTTTGCTCCATAGAGTTGAAATCCAAGTAATCTTCTATAAATTGAGGGATAAGTGTTTCCAAATCCACTCATGTCATCCAAATATCTTCTATAGAGGGTTTATCCTTCAATCTAATTAGAAATCTGTGAATAGAAATCAGATATGCGGGAACTTATTTCACAATAATGAACTCAAGTTCAAACAAAGTGGGTGTTGTAGGATTCTATATGTGGCAAACACCGTCTTCTATTAAAGAGGTCAAGCTAAACAGATGGAGACTTGCCAATTCCTTCATATGATAGAATAAAGTCAATATTAATAATTGGATGAATGAGTATATTAGAAGGAAATTTAAAGTGATAAGCATTCATTCTAATTTTTAAAAAAAAATTTAAAAGATCACAAGCCCTTACATATAGTTGCTTATATTTAATTATTTGATAATGTTTAGGGCAAACACGAATTAAAATAGAATCATCTTCTTTATATTCTTGTGTTGAATGATTATAATTTTCCCTGGAAGCATATGCTTATTATTTATAGTAATTTTCCTTCTTATGTCTTTATGGAGGCTTTGAAAGTCCTTTAACAAATGAGAATGCTAAATCAAAAAATGCATGAGATGATAGGTTAGCTATATCAAGTGGTCTTCTAGGGTTTTGATTATAAATTATCTTAAAAGATGATTTATTTATAGTTTTGGAGACAATGCTATTATTTGTGGATGTTGATGTAGGTAACTATAAATCATAATTTCCTAAACTCTTTTGCAACAAACATATAAGTTTGCAATTTCCCTAAAATGCGTAGACTATTTTAGCTTAACTATTAGATTAATATTGAAAGGTAGAAGAAAATTTTAAATCGGTGCCTAATATTTTTTTAAAAAATATGAGATAAACCTAGCATCTCTATTAGAAATAATACTTGAAAAGAGACTGAATTCATTCTATTCCCTTATAAAATGAATTGGCTATATAAGAAGCATCATTTATTTTGAAGCAATTCAACAAATGGGTCATTTTTTAGAATTTATCAACTACTATAAAAATACTAACATGACCTCGAGCTATCCTAGTTAATCTTAAAATAAAATCTAATAATAAGTCTTTCCAAGGCATTCAAGAACGGGTAAGGTAGTATATTATTTAGGCCTCTATTTGTTAGACTTAAGTAGTTTATACGTTTAGCATTAAGCCACCAATTTTTGAACATCTTATTTTGGTGAGGGTCAATAAAATCTATTCTCCATCAAAAATATATTTTTGTCTATCTCAAAAGGACCAGTTATTATTTCAGAGTGTAACTCAATACTACAAAATTTCTAAAATAAGTTCTAGGAATACTTTTCTCTTATACAAATATCCATTGACAGTTAAAGATGTTCTTTATGAAGTCAGAGGGGTTTGTATAATTGTTTAAGATAAAGAAAGTAAAAATCAGGATACACAAGATAGTCATCTATAATTATATCAAATAGTAGGATCTTCAATTCAAATAAAAAAATTATCAAGTTCACTGGAGATAAGACATCAACAGATTTATACTTAAATTGTGTTTGAGGAGAAATGAGTAGTCTTGTAATAATTTAACCCATTTGTCATATCTACAACTAAATTTTCCTTGATTATTGATGAATTTTAAGACAAAATTATCTAAGTTGAAAATAAACTCTCTATATAGAAGATAACGCCTTTAATATCCAACATAAAGTCTAATTGGGACATAGGAAACATAAACTACTGTGATTTTATTTATCGCTCGACTTTCAACACACATTCGCTATGTCCTACCTTTCTTAGAGGTTAATAAAGTAGGAACTACACATTGACTAAGACTATCCCTAATATAACTCTTTTTAGTGTTTCCTCAACTACCTTTTGATCTTAGCATGTTCAATAAGGTTCAATAGCATTTCGAATGTCTCTAAAAGTCAATAGCATTTTGAATGTCTCTAAGAGAGGGTAATTCATCAAGAATCTCATCACGTGCAATATCATTGAAATTAAAGAGGAGTGGGGAGATCACAATAGGTATGTGAGTCTCATCAAATCCTGTTGTGACTTCTTTTGCATGTAATAGGTGAAGAACGATTAGATCAAAAAAGTCTTTTTATAAGATTGCAAATCTTACCGTCTCTATGATTGGGGTCAAAGAAAAAGGAAAAATGGATGTATGAAAATTAGGCTAAAAAATAACATTTTCTTTAGCAGTAGGATTTAATATAACAATTAATTGAAGTTTGGAATATTTTTTGGATTCCCCTCGGTTGTATATCAAAGGATGTCATGTGGGCCTATAAAGGGTGTCTTCTCTAAAGGTTTAATTAGTAGGAATTTAATGGTTTTATTATTATGTTTAAAGGCATATGTATTTTCCCTATTATAGTGAATAACACACAAATCATACAACTAAAGTTTTCCTTATAGAATATGATCAATATTCATGGGGAGAACATCGCACCAAATTTGATTTTCATAACTATCAATTTTTATGGGAACTAGACATCTACTCATGAAGTCGACCTAATTAATATGAAAGATTTTAGGATAACATTTAGTTTTTAGGTTGGTTCTTAAAAAGGCGTGTTGAGATAACATTCATTGCACTTTCCTCGTCTACTACTAAACTACAACTCTTTTTATTACAAAATGGTTAACTTTTATGGGATGAAGGGGAAGGATCTTGATCCTTAGTTTTAGAGATGGAAGCAAATTTCTTTTATTGTTCAACTAATAAGAGATGATTAAAAACTTCCTCTAAGATCTGAGGGAAAAATAATTCAGCCTCATTTTCAATATCAATTGAAAATCTATTAGTTGAACAATTGATTCTAAAAATTATCAATCATTGTATACAAAATAGATTCTAAAAATTAGGTCTTTAAAAATATTTAAATATTTAGTAAAATATGAAGGCTATCATGTCTTAAAGTTAATATTTAACCATATAACGTCTTATTATGGTGCATATTGTAATACTTTGCTTTTAATATTTCCTTCATTTATATCTAAGTAAATTTTAGCATATCATATTACTTTTATCTTAACAAAAGTAAGCTATAGTAGTCATTTTTTTATATCAGTTAAAAAATTCATCCATTCAAACTAAAAAAGATTTATCATATTGTTTATTTTTTGTACTAAGATTTATGGCATTTATCCATCAAACTTTATCGAGTCAGTTTTCAACATCAACTTCAAGGAACTAATGTCATCAATGCCGATCTTGGGATCTTCTCCAGGAGCCATCTTGGGGATCTTTTCTAGGATCTAACCATCCAATTCATTATCATCAATGTTGTCCATCTCACATCTCTCGTGTGATCCAACCATTTGATTTCGGTTAAGATAGCTATTAAAATTGGGGTGGCTCTTTCCTCAAATCCCATCATATGATATCGATCATCATCAACACTGATTTTGAAACTTTCAATCTATATCCCACAACATAATATAGACCATCATTATCACCAACCTCCATGCTTGAGACCCACTTCATCCAGCCATTGCCTTACACAAGCGATGGTTCAACATGATGATTGAAGATGGTGTGGCTCGTCACCCCACAACTGACTAAATGATAATTGTTTCCCTGATCAAAGGGAATTTTAGTTTAGCATAGATCTTAGTTGGTAACATAACTAACACCAAATCCTAAAAGCTGTCAAAATATGACATCAACGCATATAAATACTCCCCAAAGGGCAAGTTAAATAACACTGTTAACTTTTCTGAAATGCTTTCAAATCCTTTTAATATTCTAGTTCAATTATTGATTTAAGCAATATGGTTTTTTCCTATGAAGTCATTGTTGTCTGCGGCTAAAAATTAGCCAGAGCTAAAGATGGCCTTCTTCGAGATATTCGTCGCCTAAGTTTTTGACATGCAACAATTACCATCCAATATATCAAGAATAGTTATAAAGCTTTTTTTCAGCTTTGCCTTAGAAGCCAATCTTTCTTACAAGAAAATTGAATGAACTGTCGGGTCAATTCAACCCACCCAAGCTTGTTATGATAATAGCCTCAATTAACTCTCCAGGAAATTATTTAGCAAATTATGATTCAAAGTGCTAACTATATAAAACCGGTGATGCGGCCCAATCGTAACAGTGGACTATATTACTCACTCCGAACAACAAAAATAAAATACAACTCCTCGAATGACTGTCCAGATTAAAAATATACAAATTTCACCAAAATTAACGACCAGCACTCAAAAACAGAAGAAAATTTATTTGTTTTGATTTATATGAAACTCGGATTCACAGGAATCAAGAGAAACTACTAACTGGTTAATTTCTGCCAAAGAAAACCACTTTCTCTTCAAGAAAATCGATCCAACATCAAGAATAAAGAAATCGGATCAAGTCAAACATATACATTAAGGCAGCATTTTGAAATTGAAACTCGTATGGGTAAGACCGTAAGAATCAAAATGAACCCTAGAAAGAAGATAGGTTGACTGGAAATTCAAAATGAACCCTACCTTTCTTCCACTTCCAAGCACCGGAAACGGTGCTTCCATTTCCTGTTCTTTCTTCTCTTTGTTCGCTTCTTGGGAAGCGCAGGTCGATTCCATGGCGGATGGCGGCAGCGGATCAGAGGAGAGAAGGAAGAAGTTTCGAGGAGAAACTAGAAAGAGAGTGATGAGCAGAATATCTCCAAACGGAAATAGGGAAAAATTCAAAAAGTAGCCGTTACGCAAAGTTTCGGCCGTGATCTCCTCTAATTTGTAAAAACCCACCCGCATAACCCCCCTACTTGTTGGATTATATGCGGATGTCCGCAAATATAAGAAGCACTGCGTGCTGTCCATGCGGAAGCTAGAGTTTTTACATAAAAATTTGAAAAAATGCGAAAATTTACGAGATCTTTGCCCTGATAAGATAATTATACTAAATAAGTATTTGTTATAAATTTTTGTCCATCTCATAAATTTGAAAATGTAGTATTACAAGAGTTGAGTTATTGGATCATTCATCATAGTCCATAGATCATTCTTTTAACATTTAAGTAGTTTACTAATGTCAACATTTTAAGGACCATTATTGGATCATTGCATTCATCTCATTGAGACGTTTGATTTGAAAATAAACATGAAAGATTTGAAGATCATCTAATCATTTAATTAATATTTCAAATATTTTAATTATACTTTTAACTGCTTGATCTGCGCTCAATTGGACTTGGATTTATCAATATGTTAATGGGTTTTTTGTTGTCGAGAAGCTTAGTTTGACTATAAATGTGCTAAAGTCAAAATTTAATTCAAAATTTTCTTAATTTCTGAACTAAAAAGGGAGTTTGTTGTGTACGTTGAGCTCCTAATTAGTAGAATATTTTAAATATTTTAATTATACTTTAACTGCTTGATCTGTGCCCAATTGGACTTGGATTTATCAATATGTTAATGGGTTTTTTGTTGTCGAGAAGCTTAGTTTGACTATAAATGTGCTAAAGTCAAAATTTAATTCAAAATTTTCTTAATTTCTGAACTAAAAAGGGAGTTTGTTGTGTACGTTGAGCTCCTAATTAGTAGAATTAGAGTTGGATGGTTGAACTTGAGGAATGCATTGGGCTTCTTGTGTGATAGAAAAGTCCCCCTCAAACTTAAGGGAAAATTCTATAAGATCGTGGTGAGACCTACAATGCTTTATGGAGTAGAAAGTTGGCCATTAAAAGAGAATCATAATATTAAGTTAAGTGTTGAAGAGATGAGGATGCTCAGGTGGATGAGTGGCTTTACTCTTAGAGACAGGGTACTAAATGAGCATATACGTGAAAATGTTGGAGTAGCTCTAGTGGAAGATAAGATTAGAGAGAGTCGCCTTAGATTGTTTGGTTACATAAAACGACAGCCTTCTGATGACCCAGTTAGAAAAATAGATGCATTATATTTGATTTATGTTAAGAAAGCTTGAGGTAGACCAAAAAAGACTTGGTTAGAAAATAATAGAAATGACCTTCTTTATTAGATTTAAATAAGAATTTGACTCTTAATAGCGCATTAGAGAAAAATGATTCATATAACTGACCCCACAAAGTGGGATAAAGACTTGACGTTATTGTTGTTGTTATTATGAACTTAAATATAGCTAAAAGGACACTTATGAGAAGAGTGATAAAAGCTTATTGGTCAATTTATAAAAAATCCTCACCAGGGAATTATTTGGACCTTGACCAAGGATGGGAGTAATAGAAACTCTTAAAATGCAATAGAAAAGAATTGTGGCTTATTCATTAAGAGATTCACAACTACATGATTTAAATTGTGTTAGAATTCTTCATTCATATAAATTTAATATTTCAGTTTATTTAAATTATGCCACAACTATAAAATTAAAATTTTGTTTGGGACAACTTTCTTGCTATTTTTTAAAGCAATTTTTTAGTACAAAAAAAATTTAGTTCAAGAAAATTTTGTACAAAAAAGTTGGTTTAGAATGCAGTATGAAAGCTATACCAAACGAAGCCTAAGTCATTTACATATTTAGGCTTCGTTTGGGACGGATTTCTTATTGCTTCTTAAAGTAGCTTTCTAGTACAAAAATTTTTATACTAGAAAACTACTTTAGAAAAAATAAGAAAGCTATCCCAAACGAAACCTTAATATCTATTTAAAGTAACTATTATTGTCTATATGTTTTTGTAGATTTAAATTATGTTATAATTCATTATTTACTTAAATCTAGTATTATTGTTTATAAAGGATATATCTTTGAAAAAAAATATATATTTATTTTTCAATAAATAATATCAAACAAAAATATTGATAGTCTTGCTTCAAGTCATTTTCCAATGCTAATGTTGAATTCAAATTTGTCTTTGGGTGATACCTTGACCTTACTCACAAGATTGGCAGTAAAGAGCTTAGAACTAAAAGAAATAGAGATAAGGAGAGAGTGAGAGAGAAGAGAAGCTCTTCGACTTTATTAATCGAAAGTAGTAGGGAGGTCGAGAAAAATAAGTTATTCTGTCTCTTTAGACTTACTCTCCGGCTCCCTATTTATAGATCAAAATAGAGACAAAATTATAAATAAAAAAAATACATTAAATTATACAATACAACCTAATAAAATCTCTTTAATTATATGAGATATGTATTAAAGTTATATAAATATAACATAAGCTCACATATAGTCACTGATTGGTTTGATCTGATTTGGCTGACCGGTGAGATTACTATCACTTAGTCAACTGGGTTGGCTCGAGCTCAACCCAAACATTTTAGGGTTGTTTTCAATTTTTGGTTGGGATCGGCTCAACTCGAAAAATCTGAAATCAACCAGGAACTAACCTGAGTTGTTCTCGCCTACTCATCACAATCGCCTGCTTTGTCGGGCTCGCCACTCGTTGCCTACCGCTCACTCCCGCAATAGCACCCTCGCCCTAGCACTCAAAGCCATGCTCGCACCCGTGCTCATGCATGTGCTCGCACCCATGCTCACACACACATTAGCCCGCTCTCACTGCCTCACCCACTCGCGGCTTGCGACTTGCCCTTGCAGCCTTGCCTGGTCGCCCTTGTGGCCTCTCCTGTTGGCAGGTCGGGTTGGGTCAACCTGAGTTAATGCTGGTCGAATATAGATCGGGTCAGTTGCAGGCAGGTCAATTTCGAGTTGGATTTGAACTAGATTTGAAAACTCATTTTAACACCCCAATATATCCCCCATGATGCACTGACACTTCTTTTCAAAGAGCAGTGTGGTGTCTGAGATGCCTCCAATACGTGTCAGACATATCAAAAAAGTATCTAATTAAGAAAAATATAAATTGGACAAGCGTGTCTTAAATATTTTATATTTTTCTCTAAATATAAAACTTTAATTTTTATTTTATATCCACAACACCAAATCAATTGCTCGTACCCAATACCTCATTCATCAAATATTCTCATTTCCATTTTTCTTTAACGGGCTGTGACTTTGGTTTCACAACAATATTTAGTGTCATCTCAACGCCAATGTCTGATGTCGTTATAACATCTACTTTTCAAAACAATTTCAACATTAAAGTCTAACACTCTCATGACATTGATGTTCGATACTAGCAATTTCTACACCCACAACTTTACAGTTTATATTTTTTCGACGTCGTCTTAAGATCGACAACAAACACTCTCTCTCTCAACATGAAAAACAAACGTCATCTTGACAACGACGTCCAATACTTACTGCATAACATCAATATCCGACTCTCGATATTATTGTCGTCTCTTCTCTCGATGCTTGAAACATGATATCGACTTCTAACTCTCAACATCCTAATATAAATCATTTAAATATAAATTCTAGTTAAATAACTTATTATTTCATCATTATTTTTAATATCATACTTATTCAACTTTTATACATTATTTTTTAATATTAAAATTACAATATCGTATTCAACCCGTATTCGTGTCCTATAATTTTAATAATCGATGTGTCATGTATTCGTATCAGATTGTGTTTGTATCGCCGTATCCGTATCTGCGCATCATTGTCTCTCACTATATATCAGAAATCAACATGCAGCATCACATTATGAAAATCCAGCTGTTCAATCTGATAAGGGTGAGAGCTGACTCAGCCCCAATCCAATAAAGAATCAGACAAAGGCATCAATGATTGTGCACAAATCTCTGCCATCCTTTGAGCAGGTCGACCTAACGTTGACCCAAAAGCACATCATTAACACGTGAAGCCAAGATAAATAATTAGGCCATTCCACATGCATCATTTGTACTTATTAAAACATTAAGAATCCAACGGTCTTATTATCTTTGCCAATGCTTTGAAATTCGGACCAATCATGCAAATAGGTATACCAAATCGGTTATTGCAGTGATATCATAATTCTATTATTGAATGATAGTAATTAGGTGCGTAAGTGAGTCAAGTTGACTCGTAATTAGCTGGAGCTCGACTCGATAAATAACTCTTGAGCTGGCTTGATGAGTAAAGCTTGAGGCAGTCTGGACTTGACTCATTATCTCGCAAGTTGGCTTATTTAAAATTGGCCGAAATGAATCCAAATCAAGGGCCTAAAACTTAATTAAAAACTTCCAAGCATTGATTGGATGATCAAATGATCTTCAAATTTGACATACTTATAGTCCAATCGAGCAGCTAAATTGCTTAATTTCGACATCGTTGAGATACCTAAATGATTAAAAAATAATATATAACTGATCTATTTTTTAGTAGGAACTTTGGCTATTGATATGACAGTATTATACTGTTGTAGAGTCAAGCATGCAAGTCCTCTTTTGCTTAATATATTCCTTCTATTTTTGAAAATTTTACAATTCTAATAATGTTATGTTATTTCATTTAGATAACTAGACGAACTTGTATGTAACTCAACTTGGTCTGTTGGTTGAAAGCTTTGGATATTAAATAAGAGGTCTTTTGTTTGAGCCTTGTGTATGTGATTTTGCCTTCATTGGCTTAAGGCTTCATTTGGGATGGCTTTCTGGCTAGTTAAAGATGCTTTTTATGACTTTCTCATTACTTAAAGATGCTTTTTAGTACAAAAATCTATAAAAGCAAAGAAAAAATAGTTTCTAAAGTTGCCTCAGACGAAGCCTAAGACTTCATGTGAGACGGCTCTCTTAATACTTTTTAAAGCAACTTTCTACTACTAAAATTTTTAG